AAAAAAAAAAATCTTACCTTTTTTTTTTATGGACCCAGTCCGGGAACTTATGGGACATACCTTGTATAAAGGATTTATTAGAAACCTAAATACAACCCTTCGCCACCGAGTATAAACCTTCAAACATGCTGACCATATGTATATGATTTCAGGAAAATCAAATATATGCAGTTTTCTGTAGTAAGAACTGCCATAAAAACTACGGGGAAGGTTTATAATAAATTAGGCAAGATAATCAAATATTTTAATGTTTCATTCACAGCATCTAGGTCTTATACAAAATTTATAGAAAGAATTGAGTACAAATATTTCTTCGTTTTATATGAAATAATCTATCAACCACAGGAAGAAAATTAATTTTGAAAATGATATATATATATCAATATATATATATATGGTAATTTAAACCAACAACCCTATATTGTATAATTACTTATAACAAGATTGTCATGTTGTATATAGAAACACATCTATAAATAATTATGCGCATGATTAATCTGTGTCATTGCATCACCATATGTAATGTACTTTGTACAAACTAAGGATAAATAAATAAAACTATGTAATAGATTAAGAGCTAAGTTAAAGCAAGATTGAGAAATTCAAAAACGTCTAAGATCGAGAGAGAAACCCAACAATCCTGAAGAGGAATTTAGCGAGTCGTTGCCATCAAGGCCAAGGGGTGCAGACGTTCAAAGTTCACATTCTCAGACAATCCAACAACCCTGAAAAGGAATTCGGCAGCCCGTTGCCATCTGGTCCAAAGGGTGCAGAATGCCCCAGACGTTCAAAGTTCAAATTCGCAGATGTCTCCCCCCCTCCTCGGGAATGGTATATAAACACCTCGGTTTTAGCCGACAGTAGTTAGTTAGTCAGCAGTCACCCTTTCACAGTCGGTCGTAGCCAGGACCACCTCATCACCATGTAAAACAGTAAGAAATACTCTAAATCTCCATCTTGCTTAGCTCAACTCCTATCTGTTCATGGAACTTTCCTACTACAGCTGTGTCTCTTCGTTTTGTGTGTGTGGTTCCCAAGCTTTCCACTCTGCCTCGACCACGACTGCCTGTACTCTGTGAAAACTGTTAAAGGTCTTCCAAAGTGCAGAGAGGTACTGGAAAACTCTCCACGCCCTGACTGTCCCTCTCGGCTACTACAGGTTTGACCACCGGTTACCACAGCTTATAGCGAGAGTCGACAAGATCTCATCACAGATAAGTCGACAGCAACTCTTTATCACATCTAGAGTCGACAGGATTTACAAGAGGCTACCAGACCTCAAGTTATTACATATATATATATGGTGAGCTATCCAGTCGACTTAATCTATGGTGTGTGTTCCTGTCGCTATAACCGTGTTAACTGAGAGTTACAGTCAGGATGTGGAGAGCTTTCCAGTACCTCTCTGCACCTTGGAAGACCTTTAACAGTTCTCACAGAGTACAGGCAGTCGTGGTCGAGGCAAAGTGGAAGACTTGGGAATGTCCATACACAAAAAAAAACGAAGAGAAACAGTTGTATTAGGAAAGTTCCGTGAACAGATAAAAGTCGAGCTAGGAGCGAAAGATGGAGATAGAAAAGTTCTTACTGGTCTACATGGTCAATGAGGTGGACCTTGAAACACAACTGACGAGGGCTTCCTCTCGGCAAAGATATATAAGCCTCCAACAGGGCCAGAAATTAATAATCACATCTTTGCCGAGAGGAAGCATTAGGTTCCAGCGGATGCAACAAGGGCGTGGATCGGAAGATATCATTGTACACTGACAACGCCCTGACATCTTCTTGGCCTCGTTCGGACTTCTACATCTCGATTTTTGCTCTAGCTCAACTCTAAATCTATTACAGAGTTTTATTTATTTATCCTCAGTTTGTACAAAGTACATATATATGATGATGTAATGACACATGTCAATCATTGGAATAATTATTTTCAGAATGGTTTATTATACAACATGAAAATGTTGTTATTAGTATTATACAATATGGGGTTCTTGGTTTAAATTACAATATATATATATATATGTATGTATGTATGTATATATGTAATGTATGTATGTTTGTCGGCTATACACGTCCACAATACGTAACTAATCTGACTGATATTTTAACAGTTTATATAGTAGAATCTGGGAAAACATATACTGAAATTTTCAGGTCTCTATCTCAAATATTCTTCCAGTTATTTGCAAATTTGCGTTGCAAGCAGTGCCTCTAGCGGTGAAGATGGGAAGTAATATCAGCTGACTTGAAGTACATGTAAAACGTGTTTTAACAGAACATAGAAAAATTCTGGAATATATTTGTCGCATTTTTAGTCAAGAAAAAATGGAAATTGACAGGTTCTGGACAAAAATAGTTGTTTTTAGTCAGAAAGTGTTGATGTTAATATTACTGTATCATGTTTGATTATCACATATAAAATTATATAGGGAAAATTTCCAAAAAGCAGAGACCACGGGTGAAGCCAGTGCATTTTTAGTATGCAGTAACAAAATTCTCTAACAGAAAAACATTCATTCGAGCAGAAGACACAAAGCCAGATCATCTCTCTATGAAAATATCACTTCTCAGACACAAAGTTTGGAGCAGTACATTTCGCAAGAATGACATCCACGGCGCCTATTTATATTTTTAACGAATAGTTTTTGAAACAAAATAGTACAATTTTCAAATATCGTTGTGAAAATTTATATTTTAATTTTTATATTTTGAAAACACACAAAGTTTGGAGCGGGACGTTTCACGAGAGTGACATCCACGGCGCAAATTTATAATTGTAATGAATAATATTTGAATAAAAACATTTAATCGGATAAAACCCGGGCGTTGCCGGGTCATTCGGCTAGTTAAAAATAAAAAAGGCATATCCTAACCAGGATCACACGTGCTTTTTAGATGGCAGTACGCCATCCAGTGGAGCAGAAATCAACTAAACATTGTTTACTCCTGTTCACTGATATTTGGTCAAACCGATTTTTCATTTTTTGTATTATTTAAAAATAATAATTTCTATAACAAATTACTCTGTAAAATCACCAAAAGATGTCGCGGAACTATATAAACCCATTGTTGTTGTTTCTCTTTGGCCATTACATTCTGGTTAGCAGCCCCGTAAATAAATATATTTCCGTTTCCCGTTGACCGGCTCAAATCTCTTTGTACATATGTAGAAAAATATTTAATCTTTATTTTTTCTTAAAGCCTCAAGTAAGATTATACTTTCTCAAATTATGGTTCTATTCCTTATTAGCACAATTGAAGAAAATTGTGATTCAAATTTAATTTATTTTTATCAGGACTGCAAAACAATATCATAAAATAATCATCAGCAAGTAATAATTCTATATATTTTTAATTCCAAAATAAACAGAAAATATTTTTACACACACACATATATATATATGCTCTGCCATCTAAAAAGCACATGTGCTCGTGGTCAGGAAATTCCTTCTTTATTTTTAATATCAACACCTGACCACTTATCTTTTATTTTTTTCTAATGTTTTTTTCATATATATATTTTTTTGAAAAAATATTTTCTGTTTATTTTGGATTCAGAGATATATAGAATTATTACTTGCTGATGCTGATTATATTTTGGATACATGATTATTTTATGATATTGTTTTGCAGTCCTGGTAAAAATGAAATTAAATTTGAATCACAATTTTCTTTAATTGTGCTAATAAAGTATAGAACCATAATTTGAGAAAGTATAATCTTACTTGAGGCTTTAAGAAAAAAAAATATTTTTTTAGATATGTACAAAAATATTTGAGCTGGCCAACGGGAATTATATCTTCTATATATATATATATATATATAGAAGGCTCCACAAATACCATTTGGCCGAAGTGCAGGGGGGAAATATATAAAAACTGGAAAGAGAGGAAGCGTGTGAAAGTCCACACTGCTGATATTTGGACATGTTAGGGGACAAAGAGGTGACTTATGACCTTTGGCAGGACATCCCTTGGTGACAATTCATCTCCGACGACACATGGATCAATGGCGGACCTTCTCTATCTATCACAGAGAGCACACGGACTTCTTTCGCAAAGATTTCTTTCCATCATTTATATAAGAGTATGTTCCTGCCACTCTCTTCTTTGGACCGCTTCACTTTATATATATATCATTTCGAGGGTGTTTCTGGCACTAGTTTGTGGCCTCTCTTCTCCCCATCTTCCTATATATATGGGTCATTTCTATTATAGATTGAGTTTAGATTCACAATTAGATACAGAAGATGCCATATTATTTATTTATTATAAAAATAACTTCGTTAATATCGACACCCAATGAGTGGTTGATGAGTTTAATATTCTGAGTATAGATGTTTAGATATTTAGATGTAAGTATAGATGTTTGTTGAAACATGTCGTTCAAATTGTAGCTTCCTCACTAATTATGACGCGCTTAAGTTATATAAATTTCTAGAAAGTTTAACTGTAAAATTAATCGACTTTAAAGTTTGGGATCCTGAAAGTGTTCGAAGTTCAAATTCTAGAAGCCTATGAAAGATGAATTCCCAAAGTCTAGAAGCCTTGACAAAGATGAATGCCTAAAATTTAGAAGCCTGACAAATATGAATGCACAGAGTCTAGAAGCCTGACAAATATAAAGGCTTAAGGTCTAGAAGCCTGACAAATATAAAGTCTTAAGGTCTAGAGGCCTGACAAATATAAATACCCAAAGTCTAGAAGCCTGGCAAAGATGAATACCCAAAGTCTAGAAGCCTGACAAAGATGAATGACCAAAGTCTAGAAGCCTGACAAAGAAGAATGTTCAACGGGTTCAAGCCTGACAAAGATTAATATTTAAAATACAATATAACGCGGCTGATGATTGTAAAACGAAAATTAAAATTATACTGCGAATGTTTCTTTTAAAATCGAAATTTATTTTCAAAGAGAAATAGCGACATTTCTAACTTTGAGGATGAGGTATGGAAAGGTGAAACATGAAGAGTAATGGAGAACGGAAAAATAAAAAAGTGTCCAGGGGCGGGAATCGAACCCACACCCTTCTGCTTACCGGGCAGGTGCCTGTCCACTTGGCTCATCATCAGCCGCGTTATATTGTATTTTAAATGTTACTTTAAATATAAGTTATGAACGGAAAAATACGTCCAGGGTAGCCGAGTGGACAAGGCACCTGCCCGGTAAGCAGAAGGGTGTGGGTTCGATTCCCGCCCCTGGACACTTTTTATTTTTCCGTTCTCCATTACTCTTCATGTTTCACCTTTCCATACCTCATCCTCAAAGTTAGAAATGTCGCTATTTCTCTTTGAAAATAAATTTCGATTTTTAAAAGAAACATTCGCGGTATAATTTTAATTTTAATTTTCGTTTTATTAATATTCAAAGTCTATAAGCCTGACAAAGGTATGATTGTTCAGGGTCTTAGTCTTAAAAATAAAAATGTAACATATCAATTAATTCGAAATATCTTTGCAGCCAATGAAGTCCAATGAGCTCACTGGAGACCAAAGAACCATGAAAGGGCTTTGATTCCAAGAAATGCTTTAAAATTTCAATTAATTTATTTTAAAACGGTGTAAATGGATTTATTATTTCTCTACAAACTAAAAGGCGATGAAATTAAGAACGACCAACAATTCAACCTAAGGGTGTTGGTAAAAGAATAATGGCCACATATTTCTTTAGAACTCTAATCATTATCCCGAAAACGCTTCTCAGTTTGCCAAAGATAAGTGTTGTGGCTTTGCCACCGACCTAAGGTCGCTAGTTTGCAGCGAAGGTTAATAGATGGCGTCCAGTTTTGACGTTTACTTTGACGGGAGAGGCGCCCTATGCTTTTATAGATCAATTTCTTCCCGGAAAAACTCCCATCTATATATAAATAGTTTTATATATGAAATGGCAAAATAAAATCATTTTGATTATCATATTTGTTAAATATTTATATAAATATATAGTAATAGATATATGTGTTAATAAATATTTTGTTATTTTATTTAGTGAACGGTTCTTTTAAAATACATTAAAAGAGAATGTGATATAAAATGTATTGTCGGACACATAATTACATTAATATATTTTATAACTAACTCATCTCTACCTATCATCTACTCTCATCTACTAAAACATCTCAAAACTATTTTCAAGATTACCTTTGAGAAATAGTTTTGCCTAATTTTCTCAGCTTATTAGCGATTAATAATGAGATGAATTTCCTCCCGCAAAAAAAAGTTATCAAATTAAAATTCTTCCAAATTATTTTAATTAAGAGAAATAAAAAAGAGGGGTAATTAAGGAAGGTCGAGAGTGAATTCTAGAAGACTGTAAAATTATAAGATGATGATGATGATATTCTAGCCAAGTGATTCATCAAAGTCTCGTCTGTCTACCACACGACTCCAGCCCATCCGTCATTCACTGCAAGATTTAGGAGGGGAATTTAGAATTAAATATGCATGTAGTTTCGATCTACTACAAATATATATATATATATATGGTAATTTAAGCCAACAACCTCATATTGTATATAATATAACAAGATTTTCATGTTGTTAAATAGAAACACATCTATAAATAATTATACACATGATTGACATGTGTCATTACATCATCATATGTAATGTATTTTGTACAAACTCAGGATAAATGAATAAAACTCTGTAATAGATTAAGAGTTGAGATGAAGCAAGAGATTGAGATAGAAGTCCAATGAAAATCTTGGTATATTATATACAATATGAGGTTATTGGTTTAAATTACCATATATATTAAGAAAAAGGCATCTCCTTATCGTGCAACTGAAAGTTGCTGATGGCTTGCGCCATCTATCGGAATAAATATCAATGGCGCAAGCCATCAGCAACTTTCAATTGCACGATAAGGAGATGCCTTTTTCTTAATTTATGCACCTTATCCCAGTACAATATTACATTTGTACTATATTTTCATATATAAATATGTATATATTAGGGAAAAAACGAAGATTTTCTGCTGCTATTGATTATCTTGAGGATTATGCTAACGGAATTATTTGATGGTTCTTTTTAGTACTAAATGGTATTGGTAATGCAGTCGTGAAAATATCTTGAAAGTATAACATAAAAATAGTTTTGATCAGCAATTGCTCAATTGAGTTAAAGGAATAAATATATAAAAAAACATAAGTTGATTAAAGTGCTGCCTGGCTTAGGCGAAAGAAAAAAAAACGAAAATACTTATTTACATAGTTTAAAAACGGTTTGAGCCGGCCATCGAAAAACAACAACAATCGGTTTTATATAGGGAAAGTCCTGATATCTGGTGGTAGATATAAACATAATATTCGAATCTATGAAATAAAATTTCAAATGAAATAATATTTTTATATAATATATATATTAACACAAAGCAATAACGCGCCATCTATACACATAAAATGAAAGGATTTAAAAGCACGAATGTTTCTTTTATACACAATACAAACTTCTACTGTCCTTACTGCGTTGAAAAGATATATCAGCCAAGCCCTCCTAATATATTTTTTCAACGCAGTAAGGACAGTAGAAGTTTTTATTGTGTATAAAAGCAACATTCGCGCTTTTAAATCCTTTCATTTTATGTGTATAGATGGCGCCTTATTGCTTTATGTTAATTTATGCCTAACTGACCTTGTGTTTATTGTTTGCGGAAGAGCATTGCTCGATGCAAATATTTGAATATAATTCTACTGTCCTATAAGCTTATGTCCATAGTTTTCTTGAAAACTATTTCTGAGATTCCACCCTTTAGTGCTGCGTATATAAGCAGAATCTTCCAATAGAGTATTAGGGCTCTGAGAAGCGGTCTGGTGGATTAAATTGGCGAAACCGCTGGGAGGGCTCACCACTGATGAGCCAGGCCCTCCCAATATATCTTTTCAACGCAGTAAGGACAGTAGAAGTTTGTATTGTGTATAAATGAAACATTTGTGCTTTTAAATCCTTTCATTTTATGTATATATATATGATAAATTTAACGAACAACACCATATTGTGTATAATATAACGAGATTTTCATGTTGTATAATAACCACTTCTGTAAATAATTATATGCATGATTGACATGTGTCATTACAACATCATATGTGATGTACTTTGTACAAACTGAGGATAAATAAATAAAACTCTGTAATAGATTAAGAGTTGAGCTAAAGCAAGAGATAGAGATAGAAGTCCAACAACATCTAAAAGATGTAGAAGATTTCAGGGCGTTGCTAGTGTATAATGTCTTCTGATCTACGCTCTTGTCACATCCGCTGAAACCCATACTTCCTTTCGCAAAGATATATAAGCCTCCAACAGGGCCAGAAATAAATAGTCACTTCACTATCAGCGGAAACCCTCGTCGGTTGTGTCCAAGGTCCACCTGATCGACGATGTAGAACAGTAAGAACTCTTCCATTTCCACCTTTCGCTCCTAGCTCGACTCCTATCTGTTCACAGAACTTTCCAAGTACAACTGTGTCTCTTCATGTTTTGTGTATAGACTTTCCCAAGCTTTCTACTCTGCCTCGACCACGACTGCCTGTACTCTGTGAGAACTGTTAAAGGTCTTCCAAGGTGTAGAGAGGTACTGGAAAACTCTCCACGCCCTGACTGTCCCTCTCGGTTACTACAGGTTCGCCCCTCTCGGTTACCACACCACAGCGAGAGACCCTCGGTTATCACAGGCACACACACACATACACACATATATATATGTATATATATATTAGATAATAAAAGGCATATATTGGACTTTAAAAAATATATATTTATTTTGCCAATATTTCGGCTGGCTGAACGCCAACCTTTATCGAGGCATTACATTTTTGTATACACAAACTCAGCGCCGCATAGTGTTATAATATCACAGTTGAAAACAATTAAAATACAGAGTAGGTGGGAGAAATTTGTGCATAAAAAAATTATTATGAAAAATGCAATCAAAAATGTAAAATATCTTAAAATATAAAAAGAAAAAAGTTCTATCTTATATTTAAAAAAAAATTGTAATGAGTACATAAAAATAATTCATTAATTTTTTATAAAATATTTTTACTTATTTATAAATCGATCTCCTAAATTTTGAAATGAATTTTTCAAATACCCACATTTTTTAAAACTTTTTATAAGGTTCTTACAGTTTATTGTTTAAATAATTTTAAATTTATTTTCAAATGTTTTAATAGATACATACATTTTTGCATTTATCTCTTTATGAGTTATTAATGAATTATTTTTATGTACTTTTATTACAATTTTTTTAAATATAATATAGAACTTTTTTCCTTTTATATTTTAAGATATTTTACATTTTTGATTGCATTTTTTATAATAGTTTTTTCATGCACAAATTTCTCCAACCTACTCTGTATTTTAATTGATTTCAACTGTGATATTATAACACTATGCGGCGCTGAGTTTGTGTATACAAAAATGTAATGCCTCGATAAAGGTTGGCGTTCAGCCAGCCGAAATATTGGCAAAATAAATCTTTTTTTTTAAATCCAATATATGCCTTTTATTATCTAATGAATTAAGTATGGATTGCTCTATTTTCAAAACAATATATATATTTTTAAAAAAGGAAAGGCATATTCTGACCAGACTCACATGAGCATTTCTAGATAGCAGAGCGCCATCTAGTGGAACAAAAATAAACTAAACGTTTATTCAACTTGTTCCGTGATATTTGGCCAACCCAATTTCTTGATAAATTAAGAAAGGTCAACCCCGAAATGCTCATATGAGTCTGGTCAGGATATACCTTTTTTATTTTTAATATTAACACCTGACCCCTTTTATTTTTTATCGTTTTTTTTTCACATATACAAGTGTATATATATACTGTATTTATATTTATTTTTATTGTTTAATCATATATTTAATACACACATATATATGATAAAATATATGTGGGGGGTGGGGATTTGTATAAGTAATAATTGTAAATATTATTTATGCATAGGCATCCTTGTGGTTACTTATGGATGTGAGAGCTGGACTCTCATAAAATAAGAAAACATTGAAGCTTGAAATATGGACATGGAGAAAGTTACTCAGAGTGCGTCATGGACAGATAAAAAGTCAA